AAAACCAAAAAGAAGAAGAGGCACGTGGGATGTGGCTGGAGAGATGGCTCAGGAGTTAAGAGCTCTTGTTTCTCTTTTAGAAAAGCTTGACTCAGTTCCTAGCACCCATGTTGGGTGGCTTGCAACAGCCAGAGGACCCAATACTCTCTTCTTGTATCCTTGGGTACTGCATTCACTTGGTGCATATATATACACATAGGCACATGCATACACGTATACAATCAGTCTTAAAAGAAAAAAAGTGATATGTGGGCATGATGGAGCACGTCTGTAATCCCAACGCTTTGGAGGCAGAATTGAGAGGACTGCCAGTTTTAGGCACCTGACCACATATTGACCTCGTGTCTCAAGACAGGGTGGGAGATGGGGGTGTAACTCAGCTGCTAGAGTGCTTACCTAGCATGCACACACATGCCTGTGACCCCAGCACTCTGGAGCCAGAAGCAGGACAATCAGAAGATCAAGACCACTCTCAACTAAAAAGAGAGGTTGAGACCAGTTTGGCTCAGAAAATAAAGAAGTCCCTACATTTGAATTGTGGTGTAGACTGACTCTGTGTGACAGTTTGAATTATGGTGTAGACTGAGTCTAGGCAAGTGACACGGTACGGCTTCTGACCTTAAGTCTGAATGGCATTTAACCTGGTTCTCTTAGACAGTTAGCTCTTGGGAGCCAGTAAGGACGCTCAAATTATCTCTTGAAGTGAGACCACCACGGAGAAAACACCTGGCTATTTCAGGCAACAGCTTAGCTGAGGTCAAAGCCACTCAGCAGGAAAAACCCAGCAAGTATCTGAGTTTAGAACCTTCCAGATGAACTTAGCCCCAGCCACTGAGTCACCGGCAGCCTTTGAGACTTTGCAGTTGAGGCTCCAGACTTCTCAGAGCCATCTCCTCGGTACGCTGTACTCTCTCTGAAGTTCTGGCTCCCAGAATCGGTTGATCAAAATGAAATGCAATTGTGAATTAAAACCACAAGGAGGTACCGCTCACCACGGTGGCTATGGTGCCAAATGCAGATGAGAGCAGGGGGAGTTTATTGTATTTTAGTTTTGGTGCCTGTTCTGGATCTCGCTCTGTAGACCAGGCTGGCCTCCAACTCACAGAGATCTGCCTGCCTCTGTCTCCCGAGTGCTGAGATTAAAGGCATGCGCCATGGCCACACGGCAGGAATTTATGAATTTGGCTTCCTCTGAAGGAATTCCTTGATCCCTTCAGGTAGTGACATTGACATAACCAGCTGAGTTATTTTTTTTGTTTGTTTGTTTGTTTTTTTCGAGACAGGGTTTCTCTGTAGCTTTGGAGCCTATCCTGGAACTTGCTTTGTAGACCAGGCTGGCCTCAAACTCACAGAGATCCACCTGGCTCTGCCTCCCAAGTGCTGGGATTGAAAGCATGCGCCACCACTGCCTGGCTTTGTTGTTGTTGTTTTGTTGTAGCTGAGTTCTTATATTCCTGTGGGCCGTAGTATGATGGGTACAGAGTTTCTTTGAGGGATGATAAAAATGTCCTAAGATTGATTGTGGTAAAGATCATATAACCCTGTTAAGCTGAGCTGGCGTGATGGTGCACACCTGTAATCCCATCACTCAAGAGGCTAAAGTGGGAGGATGGGAAGTTCAAGGCCAGCCTGCATCCATTGTAAAACCCTGTCTCAGCTGGGCATTTTGGCGCATGCCTTTAATCCCAGCACTCTAGAGGCGGAGGCAAGTGATCTGTGGGAGTTCTAGGCCAGCTTGGTCTACCTAGCCAGTTCCAGGACAGCCAGAGCTGTATAACAGAGAGATCCCGTCTTGACAACAACCTGAATGAACTGCAATTGGTGCACGAAGTATGTGATACTTTAACAAAGCTGTGAAATATGCCTTTAATTTCCAAATGGCTGCTAACTGGAGAATGGGATAGAGCTTCTGTGGTCATCTGCCTACAACTCTGCTCACTGCTCAAATGGCCTTGAATCTAGTCCTGCCTCTTCAGAGCCAAATGCAGGAGCACAAAGTTCTCCCAGCTCCTCCCAGTCAGCTCAGTTCCTCTCATGCCTCACCCCGTTTGGACTCCAGTGAACTTCCTCTTGGGATCTGATTCAGTGTGGACTCTAGTCCACTCACACTACAAGGTAGACTTTGCACAGCTACCACCTATCACCACAAACAACACACCAGTCCTCGTCCCAGCTTAGGCTGGAGTGAGGTAAAGGTTTAGAAGAGGGAGTCTCAGACCTGGAGTCCTGCTCCAGAATAACATGGCTTACCAAAAACCAGTCCCATT